TTATTGCAGTCTTTATAAAGCTGAACCTCTGAATCTTTTTTTAAAAAATTAGCGCTTCCAAAAGGATTGAGCAGGAAAGTGGATTTAATTGCTTTTGTGTGTAATGCTAAACCAATGGTAGATATTTTCTTGGCACAGACTTAATTATAAGAACATACTGTAGAGTAATTACAAATGGTTGCCATGATGGACATGACCAATCACAAAACATCAATTTATCTAAATATAACCATACTTATTTCTGAAATGTCAGGAAATAGTCACTATGTATAGGGTACATACCATACTGTATGGCAAAAATCTAGCTAACCACCAGATGGCACCAAAATTATCTTTTTAAAAATCTCTTTGCTGCCATCTATTGGTTGACCGTGCTTTTTCAGCCTAGATACAGGAGTCTTACAATGTAAGTAGTCCACGGAAGCCTTTTCTGCTGTCTCCTACAATTTAAATTTTGATGTGCTGGTGTCAAAGAATAGCAATGTCTTACCTGAAGGGATAGGCAAAGGCTATGTCAATGCTGCGGTCGCTCTGTGTCCTGTTTGCGCAGTCCACGCTGAGCCGCAGTCCTCCAGAATAGCCACCACATGTTGCAAATGCAAAGACTGCAAAAAGCTGTGAAAAGATAATGATTCAGCAAAGTGAATTCAGCACTTGTACATAGTTATGACAACAGAAGCAGCAGTGCAGTGGTGGGTTCCGGATCCTGTTGCAACTGGTACAGGTGCAACAGGGCCCAGTGTCCTCCACATGAATGCGCTCAGCATGCGTGCACATGCGTGCAGTGCGTGCATGCGTCTAACCATCCAGCGATGCGTCTGAAAGCTTCTGCAACACTCCAGCTGCTCGGCGGAGTGTCATGCAGGTGCTGTATGTGCTATGCCCATGCGCGGAAGCGCCAAAGGATTTAAAGACAGGTAAGGAGCGCCGACGGGTGGGTGAGCTCTCCGAAGCACTGTACCGGAATGGTACCCAGTGCTCCAGGCAGGCTCCGATACGACCGTACCGGGATGTATCACCTGCAACCCATCACTGCAACAGTGACTCTCAGAAGAGGAAGTGGACAGGTTCTTAATGGGAGTAAGAATAAAAAAAGTTTAAAAAATCCAATAAATAAAGTAAAATAAATAAAAGAGAAAACTGTTTTCAGTAATACATTGATTATTATTTCTAGTTTCTTCAAAGTGACAAACAAGAATGTGAAATTCTAATAAGAACTGGCTCAGTCTGGCCAGAGGCAGAAATTGCCCCAAAAGTAGCACTTTAATAAACTTCAAACGCATTATAATGCAACCCCACCCCCCATACCTACTAAATATTCAATTGGTCATTAACAAGAACATTCTAATAATATTATGGGAAGCTTTGAACATAATCCATATATAGTTGCTGGGCATGCTCTCTAGATACTTGTTGACTTAAATTGTGCTAGCCCAGTGATGGCTAACCTTTTCCGGACTGAGTGCCCAAAGTGTGGGCGCGAATAGACATGCTCGTGCCAACCCCCCCAAAATGCAATGTAGGCATGGCCCCCATGCATGCACCTCTGTGCATGTATGTGTGGCCCCCTGCATGCCCCCTGTGCATGCGTGCACGTCCTCCACATGTGCACACCCCTGTACGTGCCCAATCCTTTGTGTATGTACTTCTAGAGCCCCGATGACCAGCTGGTTGGTGGGAGGCATGCATACATGTATGGTAGAGCTGAACAGGGGTGCTGGCTCACGTGCCCACAGACAGGGTGCTGCGTGCCACCTGTGGCACGCGTGCCGTAGGTTTGCCATCACGGTGCTAGCCAATTGAAGAACCGATTCCAAAGCCATTATATTTGAATTGTATTTAAAGTGATTTCTCCTTTTGCTAAGGTTCTTTCCATCTTGTACCTGTGGGAGCCTATCCTTTACTTATGCATAAATGAGTATTCATCTACCTTCTGGCTCAAATCTGTCAAAGGGGACACCAAGCTAAAGAACCTTGTTGGTGTTTACAGCTAGCGTTCTCACTGTAGTTTAGACTTACTTTTCTTGCTAACTTTTGGCTTATGCCAATTTTATATCAGGAGACTATGATTTGGTCTTGCAGATCAGTTTGAGATTTCCAAATCACATCTGGAAGTGTCAAATCGGATTAATGTCAATTACTGTCTTAGGTTACCAGTAATTGTGAACAGGAGCTTGCAGGTAATAATAATAATGCTAAAGCAGATTTATTGGCAGAAAGACACTTGTATATCTTTTTCATTATATAATCTTTCCTGAAGGTTTATGCTAATTAACAAAAGCCCCCCCTCCCCCAAGAGGTCCAGGAAGCTAAGCTGATTTTGTCAAATTATTTTTCTAAAAAAATATCCTATGCCGTATTTGGGAAATCAGACACCACTGATGTGTGTTTCTAATCAGGAGATAGGAGACATGTTTTTACTAGCTACCTCAGAATGAATCATTTAGTGTTGCAGCAAGCCAAGAAAAGTAATTTTGTTATACACGATTAGTATCATTACATTAAAAAAAAGGAATGCAGAATGTTATTTCAAATCAAGTTAAATTGCCTGTTCACACAAACCACTTTTTAAAACAAGTTCTGTTGATGACTGGATTTTAGCACTCCCCTCCCCCCACCCCGCATATCATACAATCCTTATCTATGATCGTCTTTTTAAAAGCAATTTTTCAAGTTTACAGCACATTCTATCTGCAGCTGTTTAGAAGTTCTGTTTCGTGTCTAAAAGTGAAATGCAACCATTAACCAGCAGAAACAGAATCATAATTAGATTTATTGATTAACATATTGTTGTGTTGTTTTGTTTTACAAGGAATCCTAATGTATTTTCCTTTCTGAAAACATTCCCTTGCATTACCGATTCATTCTGCCAGCAGCAGAAGCTCAATTTTTCATTTATGAAATGGAAGTTACTGAAGCTTCCTCAACTTGGCCCTTCTAGATATGTTACATATTAATTCTCTGATTTCCTAATCATCTTAATTAGAATTAAAGCGAAATGGTTATCAAATATGGGAATTAAACCCAACATGTTTTGGATTTTTTTGGGGTTGGACAACCTGGAACTACTCCGCTTATGGTCCAGTGGTGGGTTCCGGATCCTGTTGCAACTGGTATGC